AATAGATCGATACCGCGTCAATATATCAACATATAAAAATATGGCAACATTTTTTGAATTTTTTGGGGATTTCGTAGCATAACGATGACATATATCAATATTTCATTAGTAAAAGAGATTGATATGGTGTTTTTAAATGGCAATATATCAGCATATGAAGATATTGGGATATTTTAATGGATCAATATTTTTCCCTCGTCTTTAGAAGTTTTTAAGTCTGTAAAAAAGAAGTTTTTGAGGAACAAATAGTAGTATATTTTTTTTACACTTTAGAAACTCAGAAGCTGATCAAATATCGGGTTAAATATCGGTGGGGTGGCCGATGTCCGATATTCAGTTTTAAGGCCGATACCGATAGGGGGCCGATTATATCCTGCATCCCTATTCAGAAGTTTGAATTCTGTATATAACCGGACTTTTCCTTTAACATGAGCAGATGGTTTTTACATTTTTTTTTACAGGTATTTTGTAGGTGACTCTGAAATATTTCCCAGCGTGAACAGCACACCGCTATGATTTCATCACTTACGTTTTCATTTCTATTATAGATTCATTTACACAGAACTAGTGTGGTGATTTTCTGTGACTCTACTACTAGTAAATTATTCTGCAATCTATAAATATATGGAGCAAAGAAAAGCATACTTACTGTAAGTAAGAGTTGGCTAAAGTTCTAATGGGCCAGTTGCAGATTATTTATAGATTATAGAAATACGTTTAGATTAAAGGTGAAATGTCACATCTGAAATTCAGATCCACAGCTGCGCTCCAGTTCCCCACCTGTTTCTTGTCATTCTCAGCGTTTATCGTTGGCGACCCAAATGACTCACCGTTGGAAGGGGCAGCCAGCTACTGATTCATTGCGAGCTCTGTTTGCACGTGGAAACGCTTCATTAACAAACGCCGCACACGTTTGCTGATGTTGGCTCCGCAAGACTTTCAAATTATCGTCAGTCTCAGCAAAGCTGGAAACCTGTGTGACGCTCTGTGCTGTTTTACTACTTCTACTCTGAACTGTTTGGCTGCTGTTGTAGCAACCTAACAACCTTAAAACATACCGGCGACCCCTCCCGCCAAAATACAATACTTTGAATGGATTAAAGAAAAATAAGAGTTTGCAAACTGCTGCATTTAAAGTCCATGGAGGACAACATGGTTTCAAGATGGTTACTGCTTTGCAGGATGTTTACTGTCACTGAATGAAATGTTTCTCCTCATCTCTGGAACATATTTGACCAAAGATGCATTAGTCAGTAATTTGTGGATAGATATCGTCTTTAAAGGGGCTCTATCATCAGTTCATTAGGATATTTTATATCTTAACAGATTCTGCTCACCATCATCAGGAAGCCCCTGTTCTGACTACGCCACCCATTTTCTCTGATCAGCGGTAACTTTAGGAAGAGTTCAATCATTTCTGCTCGACTGAGTGGCTTTTTTAGCAGCCATTCTGTAGCTGTTCTTATTTTAGCTAATGTCTAAGTCATGAAAAAGTGTTTTTTGGCTGTGAGAGTTCTCTGACTTTGTTCCTTGTCGAACTTCTGACTGAGCCAGAAAGTTTTTGTTGGCCAAACAGGCAACAGTGTTCACTGAGGTGTGGCTGCAAAGTGTGTTGAAATTAGTTCAAGATCCATCGACAGGAAAGTAAACAAGCAAAACATGTTGTTGTTTCAATTAATTCAATTCAATTTGGTTTATTTATATAGTACCAATTAACAACAAATGTCATTTCAAGGCACTTTACAGACACAATTCAAAGTTTTCTATGTAAGGAAAACCAGTTGATTGCGTCGACTCATTGACTCAACGACAATCCCGCACACTAAGCATGCTTGTAGCGACAGTGGAGAGGAAAATCTCCCTTTGAACAGGAAGAAACCTCCAGCAGAACCAGGCTCAGTGTGAGCGGCCATCTGCTGAGGCCCACTGGGGTTCAAGGAGACAGACGCAGACATAGAAAAAGAAGCATAGATACAAAAGGCAACTGTCAACCAGCTCCACAGGCGGCCCCGTCCAGGAAACACACAGCCAGGCAGACGAGCTCCGAGCCAGCTCCCATGTCAGAGGATGAAGAGAGCACATCCAGTTAGTCACAGTCAGAGAAACGGGACTACACTGAAAAACAGGCCAAGCTCCAACATCTATAATATAAGGCATTGATATTTCTCTCCAGGATGGAGTCACAGCCAAACACGGACAGACTAGATAAAGCTAATATGAAAGCAGAGCATAGCGTTAGAGATTAAGCTAACAAATTCTGCAGAGTGGGAGAATAGAGATAGAATCTAGCAGAATGATGAAAAGGGGTCCCTATGTCCTCCAGCACTCTAAGCCTATAGCAGCGGCACTCTAACTATAAGCTTTATTAAAAAAGGAAAAAAAAATCTATACTGCTTTTTTTTTATTTGACACCCCCCACACCCCACCCCCTCTGAAAGATTCCTCTGTGTATGAATAGTGCCACAAATGGTGCTTCTGTTAAAAGTCTTGAAACTTTTTATTGTTTTTTACTGGGGTGTATGCACGCACAAAGCGACCATCTTTAATTTTTGTCATATCTCCTGTCCGGGCAACAGTGGCGTCGGGTGTAGGAGTTTGTTCTGCATTCGGGGAGTTATCGGTTCGAGCTCCGGTTTTCAGTGTCGTTGTGTCCTTGGGCAAGACACTTCATCTGCATTCTCTACTGATGGTGGCGCCAGCGTACGGTAGCCTCGCTTCTGTCAGTGAGCCCCAGGGAAGCAGTGGCTATAATGGAGCTTGCGAGTGTGTGATTGTGTGTGTGTGTGTGGATGAAAGACTGAATGTAGTGTAAAGTGCTTTGGTCAAGTCCCCTGACTTAAAAAAGCGCTATATAAGTACAGGCCATTTATCATTTACATAAACGTCTATTCTTTTCTATCAGTAAACCTTATTTAACATTTCACTCGTTGCTTAAACTCAACCAGGAAGTTGTTTGTTTTAATAAAGCTCATTTGCTGCAATGAATCAACAGAGAAAATAAACCTATTCTCAAAATATCCGAAATGCATCTAATTGTCAGGATCAGTTGTTCTGATTTCGATCTTTCAGATTGCGTTTTATAGATCCCCTTCTCTTCCCCTCTGGGGGCGGGCTTTCCTCTCTAATGATTAGTAAAGACGTGTTTCTATTGGTCTGCTGGACGTTTGCAACATTTTTATTGGTGAATGCGATCTGTGAGCTGCAATTTAAAAAAAAATTAATCTGAAGAATAAAACCAGAAAAAAGAAACACATCAGAGAAGACAGGAAAGTTTTTCTCAATCTAAAAAAAAAAACATGTTCTCTGCGAGAATAATGGAACAAATTCACTCCATAGAAATTAGGGCTGAAAAAATCAATTGGTTTAATTGTGATTAATTGATTATTGAAATATTTTTCAACTAATTTACTAATCGATTAATCATAAACTTGAATTTAAAGACTTTAATACATGTCTTTAGCTGACAGAACGTCTAACTTAGAGCAGTAATTATGCCATTATTGTGAAAAATAAAATAAAATATGTAAAAATTTTGCATTTAAGATAAAAAAAAATCGTTTTCGTCTGCCGATGTCCAGAACTCCTCAGTGGAAAAGTTTTAGTTTCACCTGGTTTAATTTAGTAAAAAGTCTATCCAATTATTAATCGATTAATCAGAAAAATAATCTACAGATTAAGCGATTTGCAAAATAATTGTTAGTTGCAGCCCTAATAGAAATAATGAATAGAGAAAATGGAGACAAAACCGTCTAAAAACAAAGGAGATAGAAACTATTCAACAAACTGAATTAATATGACAAACCGCTAACTGCAAAGAGGACAGGGTATGGTAAGACCCAAATAGCAAAGCTAATTAAAGACTGCAGGCAAAACCAAAACACAAAATACTTAAAGTTAAAAAAGAAAAGCCATACAATAGAAAAATCTAAATAGAAAACTATTATTTACTTTCTATATCTCTGCTTCTGTCTCCTTGAACCCCAGTGGGCCTCAGCAGATGGCCGCTCACACTGAGCCTGGTTCTGCTGGAGGTTTCTTCCTGTTAAAAGGGAGTTTTTCCTCTCCACTGTCGCTACAAGCATGCTTAGCGTGAGGGATTGCTGAAGAGTCAATGAGTCGATGCAATCAGCTGGTTTTCCTTACATAGAAAAGTTGACTGGATGATCTGGTGAACTGGAAAGTGCCTTGAGATGACGTGTGATGTGAATTGGCGCTATAGAAATAAACTGAATTGAATGCTCAGAATAATACTAACCTACAAAATAAATCAAAAGACCATGAACCAGGAAAATACTTTGTGATCAGCTGACGTTGACTGCATTTAATTGTGAACATTCATCTAAAAATAAGATCTGAAAATTTAAAAAGCTTCTATGAATCATGTCGGTTTATATAAAAGCCAAAGAGGATGACCTCATGTGACGGCGGGATCCTCGCCGCCGCACGTACCATATATAAACATCTGCATCAGTGGCGTTTCTTATCAGCTGCCCTGCCTGTCTGTGGTTTCTTGTTGTTTTTTTTGTCCAGGACCTCCACGGAGTGCCCTCGCCATGCCTAGTTTCCCCTGCTTGTACCTCAGCCACAGAAATAGCCTGAAGAATGTCTTTGACAAGTGTATCACAGATGCAGCCTTTTGTTGCTCCCCCGGGCTGTTTGCATGGATGTATGAGCCGACAAGCCAACACTGGCCACAGCTGTTGGCAGCAAACACAGATCTTTCTTTTTTTTTTGCCTTTTTTAAAGGCAGCAACAAAAACACTTTCCTCATGCGTTGAGGACGTGATTTATGTGACATGCCGATTCGTTCGGGGGCCCCTCCGGGCGGTCTCTTTTGTTTTAATACAGTATATGGACAATTGTGAATGTATACGCATCACGCTACCCGCATGCTGTGCCTTAAGTTTATGTTAGTCTATTGAAGGGATAAGGAAAGCTGAGAAGGTGAAGCCTTGTTCCTGATCTTAAATTCCTCTCTGCCTTTCTTTCTGTTTCTCCAGGTGGGACCAGATGGAGGGTTTGGAGAAAGGATAGACACATTTCTTCTGTCATGTCAGCAAAGGCTAAGGTTTGTTGGAAACTTCCTCTCCTTTGTTTCCATGTTGTTCTGTCTGCTATCTTTAATGCAGTTCATGTTTCCTCACTCTTCAATAGACGTGAGAAAAAAAAAAGAAAAAGTGAAGATTTACATGATCAGCAATCACCCAGGAAGGAGAAACCCAGGGAGTTTAAATGATACCCTTTTAATGGCGGCGCTTGGCTTTTATTTTCTGAGATGGAATTAAAAAGAATGAATCTTTTTAAACAAAGAACAGAGGCTTTCAGTGTTTCAGGTCTTATCTGGACTCTATAAACAGCAGCCGGTTCCATTAGTGTGGAAAGCAATTAATTAATAATTAAAAAGCCTCCTTCAGTCGAGTCACCGTAAGATCCCAGCAGTACTGCGTCCTGTATGGAGGGAAATTAGTTCCATTATTGCTAAAATCAAAGAACGTGTTTTGTAAATTGAAAAGTTAAATAAAAACAGTCCAGAAATGAAACTTTGAAAATTGTTTTGATAAAAAAAAACAGTTTGAGGAATAACTTTTCTCAGATTTTTCTGCACAGTTTGTAGCACTGTTGTCTCCCTGTCCATGGGCGTGTTCTTTCTGGGTACTCCGGCTTCCTTCCACTGTCCAAGAACATGACTGTTAGGTTCAATGGCCTCTCTAAATTGTCCTTAGGCATAAAAAAGCATGACTGGTGACCTGTCCATGGTTTACCCCGACTTTCGCACAAAGGCCGCTGGAGATAAACAGAACTTTTTTCAAACTTTGATTCACAAATCATATATTCTTAATTCCAAGTCCATTATAAACCCTCGCTCTGGACGCACACATTCACCAATATATTATAGAAGAATAGAATAGAATTCAACTTTATTGTCAGTACTCTGTCACAAGTACAAAGCAACAAAATTTATCTCTGCTTGTAACCGATCCCCTTGGGGAGCAGTGGGCTGCCATTGTGTGGCTCCTGGAGAGCAGTGTGGGGTTAGGGGTCTTGCTCAGGGGCCCAGAGTGGCAGTCTGTGGGGATCAAACCGAGTACCTGCAACCCTCTGAGAGCAGAAGCGCACTGCTCTAACTGCTAGGCCAACACTCCCAATATAATGTTGTTGCCAACAGCAAACCAGTAGAAATGCATCTTCCCTCTTCACATCAATGTGATCCGGAAAAATATATCTAGTTCGATAACATTAAGGCTGAAAAAAAAAATGTGAAAAAAAAATTCATTTGAAAATATAAAATATGCAAGTTAAATGTGAAAACAAAAAATGTAAGATATAGATTGAAAACATTTTTTGCACTGGATTTATATATTTTATCTCAATTTACAAAATGTGTTGTTTCTTAAATTTCTGTTTGCATCAATAATAATATATAACAAAATTTACTCAGCTCTCCAGCTCTCACTTTACAGCACTGATTGTTGGATTAAACTACAAATTATTACAAGACAAAACATCAAATAGAGATCATTAGAACCTTCTTACAGAACTGAAGAAAAATGATTATTGATTGTGTGCATGCTGATGAGTCCAGCTAATTAAAACTCCTTAAGAGTTGCAAAATATGGATGGATTTTTTTTCTGTAGGGTATTATTTGATGTAAAAAAAAAAATAAAAAAAAAGATAATTATAAAACATATTTTCCGAGATAATTAAAGGAAAAATAGCTCTAAAAACATATTTCTGGTGCAGTCCAGTATTTTTTATAAAACCCACAAAAGACTGGTATTTGTTCTTAAAGTACGTTATTTAGTTCTTTATATCATGTTTAGCCATTATAGAGGGTCCAAAGTAGAGTCCTGCAACGGGTCGGGTACCCGCGGGTCCCCGACAGGTCACCCGCTAAAATGCTCTTTTGTGGGTGAAAAATACATAAATAAAAATAAACGGGTCGGGGGTCGGGCGGATATTTTTTTAGTGCGGGCGGGTAGTTGGTGATTTTTTCTTTTATGTGTGTGTGTTGTTATGGACATCAGAAATGTTCTATTAATCAGGCAATGGGGTCACCCTTGTTGTAGCTTAAAGCCCTGCCGGCAGTGTGGGCTTCCCTCCAAAAAGGCCACAGTCAGTGCATACACGTCTGCTGCAGTGTTAATGTTCTGCAGCGCAGCGTCCTATAGCCTATTACTTGATGTGTTAACGGGTCGGGTTGCGGGTTAAATATCAACGGGTCGGGTTCAGTAGTCATCCTAACGGGTTCGGGTGGGTGCGGGTTGGTAAAACTCAACCCGTGCAGGTCTCTAGTCCAAAGAGCCACATGCGGCTCCAGGGCCGCAGGTTGCAGACCCCTGATGTGGATGTAGCTTTACCAACATTAGCATTTAGCCATGGTTGGTTGACCATTTTGTAAGGTTTATTCAATTATAATTATAAAGTTAATGTGTGTGCATATAAAACATTGAGGAAATGAGATGCTTCACTTGTTAACTGCAAACTTACTGATGTTTGTGCAAGGCTAAATCACAGTTATCTGAAGAGCACTCTGTTCTGTGATTCAATCAGAAGAGCATTCTGTCCTGTGACTTGATCAATTTCCTTATCAGAAGAACACTCTGTTTTGTAACTCACCCCATGTGTTATGAACTGCTAATAAAAAGGCTCTGCAGAGGAAGTCCGTTAGAGAGTTAGAGAGTTGGGTGTAACTCTCTCCTTCTGCAGAAGCGGTAAAAATCACTTTACTGTGTGGACTCAGTTCCTCTTTTACGAACCTAAATTTTTTAACCTAACACATTTGTTTCCTGGTCTGTTACAGAATAGGTTAAAAGTTTCAAAAGCAGCAACACAAGCAGTATTGTTTGGTGGAATAGAGCTAATGTCAGCGAGCTAATGTTAGCATGCGTATACGAATGACATAAATGAAGGAATAGGACCAAAATGTGTGTCCTCGTGGGATTCTCCAGTTTAAATGAAAAAAAGCACCCCACTTTTACACTTTAGATTTCCTGCAGGTTTTAACACAAGCCCAACAACAACAAAAGTTTTTAACGTGAAAAAGTCAAATTGTTGTACGCAGTAAAGTATATAAACTTTAGGACCGTAGTTCAGCCTACTATGAACTGCTTGATGATTCCTTCGTCCTCTTTCACATTCCCATTAGTTTTTCCTTTCCAAAGGTCAACATCAGGAACCACTGCTGATATCTAAGTTTATTTTTGTACATGTGGATCTGTTGCATCTGCTGATATATTTAAACACAAACACGGAAAAATAAATGTTCCGTCTGGGGAAAAAAGAAAATCTAAATGTACCAAGTTAGACTCTGTGGCTGCGTTCATGTCTTATTCTCTCACAAACATGGAGTTTTATGCTTGTGGTCACTTCTCACTAAAACCACAGCTTAACTCAATCTATTTTCATTTTAAAAAGTCAAACACAAAAGATTTTTAGCTCTCATGAAATGAGAAACAGAAACCTCACTATGGATCTTTTGCCAAAAATCAACCAAAACAAAAAACAAACACAATTTATACACTTGAGTTATTTTCTCTGCTGGCAGATAAGCGACAAATAATTTATGTTGAATGATAAATAAACCAAAAAAACAGGAGAGCTGCCAATGTTATACTTTACAATAATTGTATTTACCCACCCTGCATGTCAAAGTTAAGAATATGCGTTGTGTAAAGTGTTAGAAATGGATTCCAGCTCTTGTTTTCTGTCTTTAGGTGCTGCTCTGGGTGCTCATCTCTTTGCTGCCTCTTGTGGAAGGAGCTCACATGAGAGCCCCCACTGCTGCTGCCGCTGCCTCAGACTTAAAGCATGCTGCAGGCCTCCTGGAGGCGCAGGAGGAGAGAGAGTTCCCAGTGACGCTGCCAGAGGTGGTGGAGGATAAGGAGCAGGAGGAGGACAGCGACACCTACCCTACATGGCATGCTCTATATGGTACTAAAGCTCAGCTGCATCAGAATGCAATGATCTTATCTGTCTGAAAATGTTAACCTTCAAAATCGTTTTAACTTCTAATTAGGGTTGCCAACTCCCTGCAAAAAAGAAAAAGTATATAAATCAACGACGGAGGATTAGGGCCAGGCTAGAATTTTTTTTTTTCTCTATTTCGAGAATAAAGACGTAACAATTACGAGAATAAAGTCGTAACATGCAAACATATTTCTTTAGAAGGCATCTAATTAGGAAATCTTTAATTAAACTATGTGGAAATGAAGAGTTTGGCTGCAAACCCACAGAGACTGGACCCTACAGCTAAACTAGGAGAGTGATCCAATCAGAATAGACCGAAAATAAACCTTGTGAATCTAGGTGGAAAAGTCTAGGCTGCGATATTTTCAATCGTTCTACTCAGCTACAGCTCAAACTGTACTATGAAACCTGGGGGTTTAAAAGTTCACAACCTCACGATGTTTGTTCTCACACTGTGCGGCCCGACGCTCTGATGCGACCTCACGACGGCCAACTGAATTTCAAACATGTTTGATGCTACAGGATTGAAGTATACGATTTAGTCATCAACCATGAGCAGAACGCGTCATCTCCGTCTAGCAGAACATCCCGATTCACACTCCATTCCAGCAGTTGGCGGCAATGCCCCTCCGGAAGTTGCTTGCCAACTTTTGTGTTGGTTGGCAAGCTACTTCCAGAGGGGCATTGATAGCGAGATATCTCGATTCCTCCACTCCTCTCCTCCTAGTGACGATCTGCGGTATTACTGCCAGTATTGAAGGAGGAAATCAAGCAGTTGGTGGCGGTAATGCACCAAAAGTTGTTTGCCAACCGCCATAAAACACAAGAAGAAGACGAAAGAGGGAATCAAGCAAATCAAAATGGCGGCGCCCGTCACATTCAGAAAGTTATGCTTGATTATTATTGCTGTACTTTGGTGTTTGCGGAGGGTCATTCGAGGACAGCAACCTTTCATGGATTGACTTCATTGTTGTTTATAATTGTTCTTCTTCTGTTTTGTGTTGGTTGGCAAGCAACTTCCGGAGGGGCATTACCGCCAACTACTGGAATGGAGTGTGAATCGCGATGTGCAGCCAGATGGAAATGACGCGTTCTGCTGATGCGTTCTTGTTATCAGAGAACCGAACCAGGGAAAAACCGAGCCGAGCCCACCTCTGGAACTGGTCTGCAGTTAGCTCGGTCCGGTTGTGTCTAGCTCGGTTCAGTTCAGTTTGCTTTCCATTTACACACGATAAGTTATCTCAGTTACTGAGCTCGGACCGGTTTCGGCATGGTTTTTCAAGGGTAGTGTAAATGGGGTAATAGCCTCCGTTTTTCTAGTATTCATTCCACTACGTCTTTTGTCTGGTTTTGTTTCAGAGCCCTTCGTTATGGAGGAGATGGATGATCATCCCATCGTCCGCTGGGCAGGGCGCTCCCCACGCTCCTCTGACCCCACGGAGCCTCAGCCCAAGGGATCACAGAAGAAGAAAAAGAAACGAAAGAAGAAAGAAGAGGAGGAAGGTGAAGAGACCGGAAAAGCAGATAGAAGAGGGAAAGGAAGAAGCAAACAACCGAAACAGAGCAGCAGGGACTGCCGGGTGGAGAAGAAAGAGATGAAGGTCCGGGACCTTGGACTTGGATTCGACTCCGACGAAATTGTCCTTTTTAAGTTCTGCGTGGGCTCCTGCCAGAGCTCGAGAACAAACTACGACCTGGCGCTGAACGCACTGCTAGAAAACGGCTCGCTGCCTCGCCGCACTGCCCGTAAGGTCAGCAGGAACCCGTGCTGCCGGCCCGACCGGTACGAGCCGGTTTCCTTCATGGACACCACCACGACGTGGAGGACCATCCAGTCGCTCTCGGCTGCCAGTTGCATGTGCATCGGCTGAAACGCGCGGCCCAAACGAGCTGCAGCGACGCTCGGCGTTCTGTGGATTTAAACTACGACCAGAGGGAAGCTGCGTCCCTCACCGAGCATAGGAAGTTATAGAGGCCTTTCTCTGGGTGCAGCTGGACATTAAGGAGCTTAAATCTTGTCTCACCTTTGTGTCCGACGCAGGATTTAGGGCCCTCCGGGGGCCCTGGAACTCCTCCGACAAAACAACTCCTATCTAAACATGTTTTGGTTTTCTGTGGGAGAGACCTGACGGCTGAAGCTGAAGAGATAAAAAAAAAAGCCTAGTTAAAGGAGAGACGGTGTGTTTATACTGTAACTTTAACTAAACACACAGATAGGACACTCACTGCAAACAGTGAAGCCAAAGATTCCCAACAGTCTTTTCTGTCCCCTCCCCCCCATTCACACAAACAGGGACCTCACCCCGTATCTTCCTCTATACGTTCAGGTGAACTCAGCCTAATGGATGCCATGCATCTTCCTGTATTACTGTGTAAGAGTAACATATATTTATTACTGATAAATTATTTATTTATTATGGCTTCATATGAGAGCTGTTTTTTATAAACGGTATAATGTAGATACAAATATATTTATTTATTGCCAAGATTTCACATTTCACTTCCACAGCTGCTTTTGTTGGATTCCTCTCAAATTAAAAACTAAACTAAACAAACAGCTAGTTTATCTGTAGGTATTGTCTTTTTTGTGCAGATTAACCCAAACCATCAATCTGTAAATTATCCTCTGGCTATTATCTCGATGTTTACCTAAGAACAGCCCCTTGGTTGTGATTCTGGTTTGTAGGCATGGGCCGGTAGACGACGCTGACAGCATGGTGACACAAAGAAACAATAATAAACTTTTATAGTATTGACACAAACATTGAAAGCAACACTCTGTAACTTTTGATCCAACTTTTAGATTAATTTGAGACATATTCCATGATTTTTACAGGTCAATTTTTAGTACTTTAGCAGAAAAATTTTTGTTTTACGCTAAAAATAAGAGTGTGTACTGAAAAATTACTTTTTTTAATTCAATTCAGTTTATTTCTCTTGCTCCAATTCACAGCACATGTCATCTCAAGGCACTTTACAGTTCAAACAGATCATTCAGTCAAATTTATTTTAAATTTTCTAAGGAAAACCAGCTGATTGCATCGACTCATTGACTCTTCAGCAATCCCTCACTATAGTACATTATTTAGTTTCTTATATCATGTTTAGCCATGGTAGAGGGTCCAAAGAGCCACATGCGGGTCCGGATCCGCCGGTGGCAGACCCCTGGTCTAAAGTATTCTTGCTATATGTGGGGAGTGTTGGCCTAGTGGTTAGAGCAGTGGCTCTGAGAAGGTTGCAAGTACCCGGTTTGATCCCCACTGACTGCCACTCTTAACCTGACTCCGCCAGATGGATTTGCTCCGCATATCCATCTGGAAACCTTCCGTAGAAGTAATTTTGGGAAGGGGCGAAAATACTGGTTAGCTGATTGGCCTATGTTGGTGATAGACGGGCCAAATAAACCAATCAGATCAACAAGCATATGACGTACTAACAGACAGACGATGAAAACACAACCACAAGCCAGGCTACTCTTGCCGAAACCAGTCGGGAGAAGAGCAAAAACATCTTTTCGTCTGAGAAAAGCCTCCAGAGAAGTGTTTTGCTCTTCTTTCAGTGAAGAAATACTCTGTAATTCCGATAAAACTTGCTCGATAGCCACGCTAACGCTAGTTTCATCGGCTGAAGCCGCCATGTTCTTTAGACTGAACTGTCGCGCTTCTTGTTGCGTCACACCTCAACCCGCCTCAAAGCCAACGCTGATTGGACGTTCGTTTGGTGAACGGCTCCAGATTTTCTTTAACGGAGAGTCTCCAGACTGATCTGCGAGTGAAACCTTGAAATCTCGTGAGATCAGGATGGTCTCACCAGGCTATGCCACTCTGGGTCCCTGAGCAAAACCCTTAACCCCACACTGCTTCCCGGGCGCCGCACAATGGCAGCCCCCTGCTCCCCAAGGGGATGGGTCAAAATGCAGAAAGTGAATTTCCCCATTGTGGAACAATAAAGGGATTTACATGCTTTTTTTTTTTTTTTTCTCAAGTAAACTTAACAAAATAAACTTCAACATATTAGTTTTTGCTAATGGCTGTGCTCCTCTCACAGACTCTTCAAATAAGCTTAAAATGCTCAAATCAGTCTCTGAATGGGTCATGTGACCAGTGTTGGGTACGTTACTTTGAAAAAGTAATTAGTTATAGTTACTAGTTACTTCTCCCAAAAAGTAATTAAGTTAGTAACTGAGTTACTCTACAATAAAAGTAACTAGTTACTAGTAAAAGTAACTATTGCGTTACTTTTGCGAGTGTATGACATTAATAACTGGGGATGTCTAATTCTGAAATCCTGTGTTTGGGTTATTATAGATACTGCAACATGTAGCTATATACATCCATCCATCCATCCATCCATCCATCCATCCATCCATCCATCCATCCATCCATCCATCCATCCATCCATCTTTCTCCCTTTCTCCATATAGGCTAATGATCGTTCACGCTCTCCGTAGTTCCCCTGTGGCACGAGCACAGGGCGGCTGTTACGCGCCTTTAGCGAGCATGCGCGTTTCCTGTCACTTGCGCGGTGAATCGTGCCGCCGCGCTGCGCGGAGATGCAGGGGAAACCGTATCTGATGGGGAAACGCAGCTTGACGTAACACCAGTATTTCCATCTGGAAAGCGCTGTTTTGCTGCTGGAGTCCTCCTGACTCTCCATCCTCTCCTCTCTCATGACGCGCGCACGAGTCCTATCATGAAAAAAGGTTAATTGTGCGACCTGAGTAACGTGCAGTAACGGGGTGTCGGCAATTGTAACTGCGTTATAGTTACAGTAAGAGTAATCATTTTGATTACTCGTTACTAAAAAAGGTAGCGGCGTTAGTAACGCCGTTACTTTCAACGCCGTTACTCCCATCACTGCATGTGACCCAGAGCGCTGCTTTAAGGCAGTTCCCCTCGAACACCAGAGCTACCTAAGCTAGCAGTGGTGTTAGCAAGCAAAACAGGTAGCATCCTTAGCTGCTCATTTTATGTTCTCTGATGGAGAAGTGCAGTGCTGCCACTGGCCTTTAGCGGCGCTAAACCTGAATCATACAACAGTAGCACCCCTAGTGGCTGAAAGTTACATAGTGTTGCTTTAAATCAAATATTTTTATCTATCTATAGTGTTGCACAGAGGCCATTTTTTGGCCCCGATACCCGATACCTGGCTGTGCATTATCGGCCGATACCATCCGTTTGAAATTGGTATCTGTTCATGTATGAAGAACTGCATCCTACTTGGATGTAAAATAATCACCATCATGGCTCTGTTAAGCTGCTGCCTACCTTTGTGAAGCAGGAAAAAGACTAAAAGTGAATCCAGTAGAACTTTTTATTGCCTACCTGGAATGGGCGACAATAGTTCAATAAACTTTTGGCTCTCAAAATGGTATCGGTGTCCTATTGGTTGTTACTTGCCGATAAACATTTTACTTGCCGATAAACGACCAACATTTTAGTGCTGGATTGGGGTCCTGTCCGGTACTGGTATCTGTATCGGTGCAACACTATCTATTTCCCTTCATTTCAAACAGAAGAGCAACAATTATCTACTGCTTAAATAAAACAACATTATTTATGATTATTATTCATTATTGCTAAATAATCTCGAACAAACCTGAATATTTTAGGGTTTTCTAAGTGCTTAATATGCAGAATATTGGCCCTTATAGATTAATACATGTGTTTGAAGTTGGATCTTCTGCACAGAGTTTATATGTTCTCCCTGTGAATGTGTTGGCTCTCTCTGGGTACTCTGGCTTCAAAACAGTCCAAAAACATGACTGGTAGATTAACTAATGTCATTATGAAGAAAGCGATGAAGAGATGGTAATATAAATTTATTTGGCATTAGTCTAACCGATCCCTGATATTTACCCCAGATAACTTTTTTTTTTCTTTTTGAGGCTCATATTGATTTTTCTTCATGTATTTACATTTTAAATAATACATTGGTAATTAATGTTATTAACAAGGTAAGTACGAAAAAAATAAACATTTATTAACAATCGGCAAATGCGTGCATGTATCTGCAGATACCGATATAAGGTTTATCCTGTAGATTGTCAGTAGAGATAAACATTCTATATCTCGGTATTTTTGGCCAATTTTAGCGTTTTTTGCAGTTTCCTAAATTAATTTTATCAGCATTAGCAAATAAATGTACACATTTATTCACTAGCGCGTTCGGCAGCCATGACTTGAAATAACATAAGGCACAAGTATTGCCTCTCCCTCCATCCGCTAACTAGTATTAATATTTTGCTAAATTCCCGAATAAAAGCCTTCTCTTGTTTAAATTTAAAAAAATGTTTACATTTTTTTTTACTTTTATGTTATTTTTAACATAAAAGATATCGCGTATCGATTAAACTAATGCCGAAATCATTGGGATCGGTTAAATGTCTAAATGTCAGCCATAGATAAAAATCAAGGTTTCCTTAACAGCAAAGCAGGGTCATGCTTTTTTAGGATCAACATCGTGACTTCAGGATTTTTTATTTTTTTTTAACAGCTGTCGTTAAGAAGCCTTCTTTCAGCCAGCTGACCAGCAGTCAACACTTTTAGAAGAAACAGTTTTTTTTTATTGACAGAAATGACTGATATACGCTGATATTTATGTAAGCATTAGTTTTGAGTTTTGGTGCTGTTCACCAAATTCCAAAAAAAGTAAAAAAAAAAAAAAAATCCATTGGACTTTGTTTCCAAGTTTGAAGACGTTTCTCTTCTCATCCAGGAAGCTTTTTCAATTCAAAATGTCAGAAATGGCGTTGAGTTCCAGGTTTTATAGAGCGGACCAAAAACAAAATCCGTTTTTTGGCTTCGAAAACATGCAAATTGAACCTGAGGAACAGCTTGGAATGGGTTTTTTTTTGGCTTCTTTATTAGCCTGCAACACCCAATACTGGTCTATGTCTTTAAAAAGGGGGGTCCTTATAGGGAATTCTTGGCCCGGCTGAAAAGCGAGGTTTTCTGTTCCTCTTTACGGACCCGTTCGTCCGGTTCAATTTGCATGATCTACTCTATAAAACCTGGAACTCAACGATATTTCTGACATTTTAATTTGAGAAAACTTCCTGGATGGGAAGAGAAACGTCTTCAGACTTGGAAACAAAGTCCAGTGGATTGTTTTTTAATTTTTTTGGAATGATTCTGACCTGAATGACTGAGAACCTTCACCAGCATATTGTTCACCAAATCCACAATTTATTTTGTTTTTCCTGCCTTCTTCTGACTCCAACGTTAAATCATTGTTGTTTTTGTCTAATAAAATCCAATTAAAACACACTAAAACTAATTTCAGGTTTAAATGTGTGGAGCTTTAACCACCCAGAGGTGCACTGGTGCCCATTCAGGCCAGAATCTACCGCTTCCAAAGAAAAGGGGTGTGGATGTTTTAGAACTGCTGAGTATCCAGATGTTTTCTGTTGTTAGTCCCAACAAAAGGAAACACTTCAGAAAGATGTATCATGCTTTATGTCTGCAAAATGATCTGTTCAATAACCGATTCATGGCATCTCATAAAAATGATTATGGCACCTGTTTCTAAACATTTAGCTCTTTAGAACCTTGATACCATGAAACTGTCCCATGCCTACTGCCAGGTCACACTTTGACTCCCTGCTCTGGCTTTAAAAACACAAAGTTAGTTTAATTTAGCTTAAAATTAATTATTTTAATGTAACAAAACCTCAAACTTTTTTAATGCATTGCAAGGGGTTCTGTAATTCAGTTTAATGACACTCACTGTTATCCATTATCATCCTTGTTATTATTATTATTATTATATTATTATTATTATTATGAAATGTTCTATATTTTTGTATGGCATTATCCTCCTAGGGAATAAAGTTGAATAAAATTAAAATATTTTTTCATCATTTTATTGCTCAGATGTCTGTGGTCGGTTCGCTCTATATTAATCATGTCTGGAACCTCCTTTTTTGGGGGGTTATAGCGCCATCTAGTGGTTAAAGTTGCAGAACAGCAAAAACTAAGAAAACAGTAAAGTTTCTCTCAAAACCGTTGCCATATTTTGTCTTTTTAATTTTTATTTCTTGATTGCGTTTTTTAAAATTTCCATTGATTTTAGAATATGATCTTTGCTTTCAAAAATAATGGATCAAAATTAACTCCATAAGCAGGAAAATACGGCTTTTTACTAATTGATGATATGTCGATTTACGTTGTAAATAAAAAGAAAAACAGCTCCTTATATAACTTCTGTTTGTTTGAATTCAGGAGCAGAAAGTTAAGAGTCACCCAGATTTTTATGTCTT